TCGGGGCCGGGTCGGGGCCTAGGGGCCGGGACTTCGTCGGAGTCTAGGGAAAGGCATCATTCTCGGCCGCCACCGCACGTCAGCACTCCAGCCCTTCTCCAAAGTCCGCACCCGTCCGCATCACCAAGAATCGGTATGGTGCGCTGCCGTGGCCATTTCCGCAGCTTAAGGCGGTTCCCCGGTGGTTTTCCGGCGAAATTTTGGTTCCCCGGGTGTTCTCCGGGAGTTCCCCGGGTGTTCCCCGGGTGTTCGCCGGGTGTTCCCCGGTAGTTCCCGGGGAGTACCCGGGTGGCCCCCGGCAATTCTCCGATGGGCGTTTCATCTCGGGCAGCCAGACCCTTCGCAAGGAGATGCGACAAATACAGCGGCGTCAGGCTGGTGTTAAGGACTGGCGGGCGGCGTTCCGGGCGCTAGAAGCTGGGACTCCAGGGCGCCCTTCTCTCATGATCATAGATAGATGCCATTATAGTGAGTGTAAACATATCTCTATGGGCCAGACGGAGTTTATCAAAGAAAAAACCACCAGGTTCCTTGCTGCTTCTCATTCATCATACACGTTGCAGTTGCCGTTCTCACTATGACCATATGGGTTGACGTTGACAGGGTCGATGGACATTCCACATGAGAAACAGAACACTTGGCCACACGTGCACTCAATTTTGTTACAACCGGCACTTTTCTGTTCGAAAAAAAAAAGTGGTTTTACTTGCCTCAAGATGACCTTAGTCCCAACAAGTTAACATATTAAGTATGCATCAAGAAGTAACCGACGATTGGCAAGCCATTGTCTGCCGAAGGCAGGCTAGCGCCGCAGGCCAAGGTAGGCACGCCAGGCGCGGATTGGAGGAACAGGCCGCGAGATACCGCGAAGCCTGTTACGACAAGACGCGGTCTGGCGTAGACCTACCTTGTGAAATAACATCTTCATGGCGCTACGAATGCAATAGAAGTGTTATTGCTTTTCCAGGACAACCAGTGTCTTGGAATCCGGTAATGTGATGGTTCAAAATACCAGTTTTCACTGCAGGTCAATTCACAGCGTTTACTGTGATCTGCTCACGGGATTCACTGTGATCTTGTTCACGGTGTTCTCTGTGATCTGGTCCCCAGTAAACACTGTGAGTTTGACGCCGCTGAGCACCGAAGTACTGCAAATCAGGCTCCAATTCACGGCGTTTACTGTGGCCAGATCACAGTGAACACTGTGACCGAGATCACAGTGAACGCCGTGAACTAGTTCACAGCAAACGCCGTGAATTGCATAACAGCAAACATTGGTAATAAATAAACGGCGTTGACAGGACATTTTTTGTAGAGTGGTTGCCTACCCGCAGCGCCGCAAACATGCCGAATGGAATGATTTCATTACTTTTTCTCTCATGTTCGGGGCTTCTGGAATCCGATGTTGTGGTGGTTGTTCGTTTATAAGCCAGCTGGTTATTTGAGTGGCCGACTATTTATTCAAGATTTTGCGGCCGAATGAATTTGAACCAGCAGGGCCTCAAACGTGCCGCATCAACCGATCTCATCGCGTTTTCTTGCGAGTTCGGGTGTCATGCAATCCGGCATTGTGGTGGTTCAAATTCATTCGTGCTCTAGATGTTAAACAACTAGGGGTAGGTTGGGGAAGAAAAGTACAGAGTATGAAAAGTACACCCCCACTGTGAGAAAAAAGTACGGAAAAAGTACGGAACATGTCTGGTCAATAATTTGCCTGGACCGTCCGTACTTGTCAACTACGGAACGTTCCGTACTTTTTTCCGTATTCATTTACATGGGTTCATTTGGAGCAAGTACGGAACGTTCCGTACATTTCTCCGTACCTCCGTATTATATTTTCTTGTACCATTTCCGTGCAAAAGTACGGAATTTTTTACAGTGCCCTTGTGGCCTACTGCTCCAGTCCATGACATCAATTTAACAGTGTTTACACGCTCAGATTTTCATGTTTAGTTGAAATCACTGATCGAGGGATGGCTAAATGTCAAGACATCAGCTCCACAAGGGTTGTACTTTTCTTCCCCAACCTACCCCTAGTCGGTCACCTTCGTTTATAAGCCAGCAGGTAATTTGGACCACCGCGGTTGCCTCACAGCAGCGCCTCAAACATGCCAGATCGAACTTCCTCAACACCTTCACTGCGGCGTAACCACACGTGCGGTCACTCTAAAATGACCTCCTCACTGATTTCCTTGGTCCGTAAACTTTTGACCAATTGGCAAATACTACACTCACAGCTATGAACGTAATAAACTTTATTGTGCTCGTTGAATGTTTCTTATCCATTGACCTCCAACAATATAAAGAATGATCTTTGCAACGGTAGGGTTTGACTGGCACAAATTACACAATTTGGTTATAATTGAGCATTTTATTATTTTTTTCCTACGCCTTGTCTTTATTGCATATTGCAGCAAGGACGCGTGGGTGGTTATCAAGGTGGCAACCGCCGTGAATGGCAGCAAAGCGTGAGTTAGCAGCTCTTGCGTCATTCCGTGAATTTCGTAGAAAAGCCGTGGTTGTTTTTAATGCAGTCGTGCTAGAAAGACGTGATAACCTAGAACTCAGTCCGTGGCTGGGAAAATAAAAGCAGCAGCCTTCGGTGCAGTGGGTACAGACTTTCGTACGCCGGAATCGGGAGCAGTCACCATGAGCCCTTTCCTGCTGATTGTCTGTCTCCTACCCGTCACCGTGCTCGCGGGTGGATGGAACAAAAATTGCATCAAGAAGCCTGTTGGGTTCGGCTACAGGACAACAGGAGGTCAAGGGGGTGAGTTGGAGTGCACTCTTCAGGGGGCAATATTTATGTATTTCTGTGGTTTCCAAACCTTGTGTCAGGACCTGAAAGAAGGTTAGGTTAGGTAAGGTGCTGGCACAAGCAACCCAAAGTACAAAATTTCATCCATAAACACTTTTTGAGGATTGTGCAAAAATGATCAAAACAGGTTTTTTCGTAAAATTTTGTACTTTTGATTGTTCGATGTTCATAATCCTAGTTCACGCTATAGCCGCTTCAGTTACCTACATTTTGGCGCAAACGGGGTCGAGATATCTTCATTTTTGCGGACTGAGGGACGCCCGCCAGTTCGATTTTTGACGAAAATTTGATTGGGCGCTGCTCCGCTCCCTGACGTCCGATCGACGCCATTCTAGGCTAAAAATGCTTCTTTTTGTAAGGTCTTGACACACAAAAAGTTTGAACAACGTTCCAGAACGCGTGTGGACGCAATCACACAAGTCACTTTTTGGCCATTTTCAGTGTATTGCCCCCTTAAGTCCCATTACACTGAGATTCCAAACGCTATGAGTATAGCACGTATGGTGCTAAGCACACTCTACCAAAAATGTCCTGTAAATGCCGTTAATTTATTACCAGTTTTCACTGTAGGCCAATTCACAGCGTTTACTGTGATCTGCTCACGGGATTCACTGTGATCTTGTTCGCGGTGTTCACTGTGATCTGGTCCCCAGTAAACACTGTGAGTTTGACGCCGCTGAGCACCGAAGAACTGCAAATCAGGCTCCAATTCACGGCGTTTACTGTGGCCAGATCACAGTGAACACTGTAACCGAGATCACAGTGAACGCCGTGAACTAGTTCACAGCAAAGGCCGTGAATTGAATAACAGCAAACATTCACTGTGAGAAAAAAGTACGGAACATGTCTGGTCAATAATTTGCCTGGACCGTCCGTACTTGCCAACTACGGAACGTTCCGTACCTTTTTTCCGTACCCATTTACATGGGGTCATATGGAGCTAGTACGGAACGTTCCGTACTTTTCTCCGTACCTCCGTACTATATTTTTCTGTACCATTTCCGTACAAAAGTACGGAATTTTTTACAGTGTTGGTAATAAATTAACGGCGTTGACAGGACATGTTTTGTAGAGTGCAGCTGAGATATCGCACCATACGTGCAATGCCGTAGCCATATTGCACCTTACGTGCAATACGTCCCTAAAATGCCCTGGTATGCTAATGCATGGCAATGGGGAGGCATTGCACTTCATGTGCAATGCTTTATTGCACCAATTGACGCTATACTCATAGCGTTTGGATTCTCAGTGTAGTGAAGATTTTGATCACCAAATTGGGGGGGGGGGGCACGCCCATATCTACGGTTAGTCTAGGAAAGCAGTCCGCCGAAGGCAGGCAAGCGCCGCAGGCCAAGGTAGGTGTATAGGCCAGGCATGAATGGTCGAAACTGGCGCAGCACCGCGAAGCCTGTTACGACAAGACACGGTCTGGCGTACACCTACCTTGTTAAGAACCGTAGTCTTTTAGGCACGAAGTAGCCTTATAGTATACCCAGGGTTCAGCGGGCGGGATATTCAATTCCCGTGGTCCTTTATGCATTTTGGAAATTTTCTATAGGATTTTAATGAGATTTTGCAGACTAGTAGAACTTTGAACGCTGATTCTGATGTTGAAATGTGGTTAGAAAGTTAACGACCAATTTTGAGAAATTTGCTGTCAAAATTGACGTTTTTATGGCAAAACTCGACTTGTCAAAGAGACAAGAAAGGGAGTAGGGGGAGCCGAGCCGGGGCGGACCAATAGCCGAGCTTATTTTTAGTTCTGTACAGCTTACTTCAAAAGCTGAAAAAGCACGTTCGCAACGAAAAATCTCTTTGACTGCAGCTAAAGAAGATGCAACAATAGAATTGATGTCGTTTTGAATACAGTTTTTCGGGTAGAACTATCGAATAAAACTTCTTGATCGGAGTGTTTTTGGACATGCGCAGTAGGTTTGCAACCTGTTTAACGGTTTAACAAACTGTAGCATTTGAAATCTGTATTCATTTTGCTCTCTTTCTTTTTTTTTGTTTGCTGTTTATCAAAATTCATATAAAACAAATTTTCAATTGATACCTTATAACTTTCTTAAAAAATATGTACAAAAAAATTAGCATAACAAAAGTTCTTTTTTTTTTTTGAGACATAATGTTTCGCAAATATTACTTTTTTGGCCCGTCCCGTTCATTTTTGGTAAAAAGGGCATGTAGGGGTATTTTTGGAATCGGGGCGACGAGAAAAATACAATGGTGCCAGTTTCGAGCGAATCGGAGAAGTTCGCAACCGGGTTCAAGTCCCAGGGGGATATTTTTTGAACATTCTTTTTATTCGAGTTTTTGCATTGTTTCTGACGTTTTTAAGGGTGCTGATGACGAAAACGGCATTAATTTTAACCCCAGACTCAGGTTTAAATCCCGTCAGGGTCAAATATAGGCGAATTTCGTACGTTTCTTAATGTCCGGGACGGGCCAAAGTTGCCGATGTATATCGCTACTTTTCCTGTTATTTCAGTAAATAAAACAATTTTGTTTTTGTTGAATTCAGTTAACACCATGACAACTTAACTCCACCTCGCGACTTTCAGGGCTCATGTTCTTCGAACAAGACTCACCCGCGTTCCGAAACCATTCCTCCCGAGTTTATAAAAGTTTGTCAAACCAACCGTCCTGGTGTTGATACGTTGTGAGTGAGAACTATTACACAGAATTGAAGAAAACATGACCAGAGAACCATAGCCTTTATGAAACAATTCAACGTCAGCAACAATGGAGGGGCAGTTTTAATGCGCGACTGCTGGTGTTTTCAGCTTCGTGATTTTTGTAAGGGCGCAGACGCCGAGAAACTAGTTGCCAACCCGTGAAAATGAATTTACTGCCTTCTTTCTGCTAAGAACATTTTAATAATGATGGACTTTAAAGATGTTCCATTGTCAGAACACTGCGGAATACATTAGCATTGGAATTTTTTGAATTTACCAGCATTTTGGTTTCTATTTATTGTCAAGTTTAAATTTTGACGGGTGGCACATCGACCGAATTGGTACCACTGCCATTGGTAGTCCCCTGAGCCACAACTTCACAACACCACTTCTTTTCTTTCTCCACACTCTTACACAACAATCAAATTGACTTCATGACTCCGAGGATTTCTTGAAATCGTATTTTTTTCTGTCTAAAGTAGTGCAGGGCAACAGAAGCTAACAAAACATACCAATTTTACTGCATGCAACTTTCCCCCGGGAGTTCTTTTCATTTTGGTAATCATTTTCTGACATCTTGAAGATAAAAAATCTCTGTGTAAGTTGATCTTCAAACTGTCTATGCAGCGTGAGGAAGGCCATAATTAAAACCATACTTTAATTTATATAAATATTAAGGTGCGTTTTTCAGTTGGCGTCAAGGAGCGGTCCCCACCGTACTTAGTCGACACTTTGATTAGTGGTCTGTGAGGTCAACCAGACCATCTTTTGCTGCAGGCAGGACCGTAACTCCCAAGAACATCCAGGAGCTCAAGAACTACTTGGGAAGCAAGGAAAAACTGATCATCGTCCTGGACAGAACTTATGACTTCACCAACTCCGAGGGCTGGGCGACTAGTTCCGGGTGCGTCATATTGAAGTGTGGCGGTGGATACCAGGAGTCGTTGGCCCACGCCGGTACCTGCAATGGCAGGCCACTAACCAAGGCAAGTCTACAACTATCGGATTAGTGATTCCGCGCACACTGCAAATCGACGCATCCTTATAGAACGATTCTAACTGTCAGTGCAGATCCAAGACAACCCTAACTGTCTGCGCAGATTGTAAGACGTAAAAAGCTGTTTCTTATAAAATTCTGTGACGCCGACATGCTGCTTCAAATTTCTCGCCATTGGACTTGTTATAAAGTAGAAACCTTGCATATAATCGTGGAAGCTGTATTTCAGTGATATCATGATTCACTGCTTTGGACTGAAGACAGCTAATGAGCAGTTTTAGCCTCCACTGCAACCTTGGAGCAGTTGGGATTGTCTTGGATCAGCACTGACAGTAGGATTTTATATTAGGAGGCGTCGAAATGCGAACCGAAAAATCTTGCCTTCTAAACGGCGATGCACAAAAGTATCGCCAAAGAATGGCATCGCCAAAATCTGGCATTAAACTAAGAACTTTGTCCCATTGATTTTTTCAAGGTTTATTGCCAAATCGTGGCAATACTCCAAAGTATCGCCAAATTTTGGTGAAACCTTTGTGTGTCGCCGTTTTAAAGGCAAGACTTTTACGGCAATACTCAAGTTTATCGCATATAAAACTTTTTTGAAAGTTCTTCCCCCGAGGTTCTGCTGCTAAAGGCGACTACATTATTTTAAAGCGCCGTTTCTTCTAGTATTGCTGATAAATGGTTCCAATCTTACGCCGACTTTCCGAGCAAAGAGTTACTTATCGAGGGACCTTATCGTTTCCGTTGCTATTCGTATCAAATGTTCAAACTTGGTGTAACTCGCTCGTGGTTGATATCAGATTCTTTCTAAAACGATCAGATAACATCCTTATATTGCAAACGGTAGGGTGTGATCGTTTGGCCAGGGCCCTTGAGTTGTACATCCTCACGTGTTACGAAACACAACCTTCAAACGGATTGATATATACAATGTTTGAGTGATGTTAAATTCTGCAACCCACTGTGTGTTCACCCTTCTGCCTCTATTTATCCCTGCAGGTCAAGTACGCGAAGGCCGGCACCACAGAGATCATCGTGGGCTCCAACAAGTCCATCTTGGGCAAGAACGGCAAAGGCGTCATCAAGGGCAAAGGACTTCGCATCAAGAACGCTCAGAACGTCATCATTCGGGACATCAGCATCACAGACATAAACCCGAAAGTCGTCTGGGCAGGCGACGCGCTGGCCTTCGACAACGTGAAGAACGTGTGGGTGCACGGCGTCACCTTCGCGGTAAGGAGACACTTAGGCTAAGGTGCCCAGTTTACTGAAGATTTGAGCATATGAGGGCCGTGTGAAGTAGACCATCGGTGATTTCGCTCCTATTTGGCATAAATGGTGCCTGCTCATGGGTGAACACCACCGCAAAATTTCAGCCATCTCAGGCAATTATTGGAGGAACTGTGAACAATTAAAGTTTTGGGCAATTTTACCACTGAGCTTCGGTGGTTTTGGGTCCAGAAATTTTTTTTTCTCATTTATCTCCTTTTGATCAGCATCTCTTGAAACGCCCTTTTAACATGGTGCCACAAAACATGTTTTCGAGGACAAGGTCGTCTTTTCCCCTTAGTTTTGTTCTTATCGCAGCTCGACTTGATTTGACTTTGTGGCGTACAAAACAGAAGCCCCACCCAGTTTTAGACCCAAAGGCTGGGTGGATTCTAACCAAAGCCACAGACCTAACCAAGTTGGACCGCAGAGCTTACTCAAGTCCGAATTCGGTTCAGTCGCGGACCATCATCGACGCTCAAACGAGATATCCTCAGTGCTTGGCCTAGCGGCATGCCATGAATGTCCGAAATATCTTGAATTTACAGTTAGCAATCATAAGTTGTGTTGTGTTTTTTCCTTTTTTTCAGCGAATTGGCCGTCAGCATCTCGTGACCTATCAGCAGCAGAACACGGGCATCACCGTGTCCTCTTGCTTCTTCGACGGCACCTCCAAGAACTCGGCGTTCTGCAACGGTGCCCAGTACTGGATCTGGCTGTTCTGGGGCACGCGCGACGAGATCACTCTCATCAACAACCACGTGTTCAAGACGGCGGGGAGGACCCCGCATGCGGGCGGATGGAGCAAAGCCCTGGTCGGTACAGCCATGAAGTGACAACCAAAATTTTGGGTGTTGAGGCACACTTCAATTAACCACCAGACCGTAAAAGGGTGATACTAAAATGTGTGACCGTAGAAAGGTGATACTTTTATGAGTCAGTGAAAAGGGGTGATCTTACCTCAAGGGAATCAAGAGGCAGTCCAGCGCTTTGTGGGTGACCCATTGGAGTGTATCACCCTTTTTCACGGATTCATTTGTGTGCGACCTTTTTTCGGTGACTTTTTGTAGCGGAAATTGGTCAGATGTCCCAATCTTTGATTTTCTGAGACGCTCAGTGAGCGTTTGAGGGTGAGCGTTTATCAAAAACATTTAGACTGTATCTGGTTTTTTATACAGTCCTACGTGCACATGATTGGAAACTACATGGATTTGAACCCTCACACTGGAATCGAGCCGAGATCAGGATCGAACATTCTCGCCGAAGGCAACGTCTTTAAGCAGTACACCAACGTACGTATAATGCAGTTTGCATGTCATCTTCACTAAAAACCTGAGTGCGCTGTGCATCTAGGTGCATTTGCAAGTACACATCTCTAGATGCACACTTGCCAGACATGCATCTGTAGACGTGTACTAAGCAAGTATGCATTCGTGGGTGTGCTCTCATCGCCAGAGAAATTGGCGGCAAGTGCACACCTGCAAATGCATTCTCGTGCACACTTGAAAAGTGTACATCCGTACGTGTGTGCAAAGTGTGTGCAGTAGTGCACGTGCAAGTATGCCCATGTAGTGCATACCGAATACACACTTCAGATAGTAGATTTGCTTGGGGCCTGCAGCTCGCGGCTGCCATTTTGGCCAAAAAACGTGTCTCAACAAGACCTCTCTGACGTCCTCCAGGTTATTAACCCTCAAGCCAAGGGTGGCCACCTCGCCTTGGTTAATAACGCCAAGCAAGCCGCCACCTGCAAGAAGTACTTCGGGCAGAACTGCAAGGTGAACTCTCTGCAGGGTTCCAAGTCTACAACGTGGTTCGACGAGAGTGTCCTTCAGGCGTTCAGCAAGCTAGACAGGAATGCTATTAACGGTGCACGCGCTGCCTCCTGCCTGTAGTGCCGGGCCACGGTCATCGGCTGCAACAGTGTAGTGGCCGGCGCGGGGAATGTCGAGTCGTTTATACCCTGGAGTGCTTAACGCGCACCTTTGAGAAAATAAAATTGATTGATGCAGAATTTATAGCTCAACTTCCTTTATTGCCACAATTTCTCTGTTGGCTAAATGGCTAAATGTCCTTCCATCAAACTCAAAGAAGGCTGCAAAGTATTTGCGTCATGTAGAAAATGAAAGCTTTGTAGAATTGCTTCGTGCAGTGCTCCTTTGTGGCACGACGTGGATAGCATTTGGAGTTGTTTGAAGTTTACACATAATTTGTAAGGTAGGATTACGAAGAGTGTTTATGGACAAACAAACACTTGTAAATTTATGATTCCTACTCGTCAAAATAGTTTTACAAACAATTCGTACCAACAATGTTTGTAACGCGCTGTTTAGTTTGGGCGTAGCCTAGTGCCTGAGCGATGCGACCTGGCACATTCTAATGCAAGCGTTTGTGCACACTGCAAATACAAGTGAAGGACAGGTCGACACTTTAAGGCGTAGACCAGTTTGTCCTACGTTTGCAAGTGTCGACCAGTTGTGTCCGACGCTTTGAAGTGTCGACCACACTGCGTCCGACGCCTGCATGTGTAGGACACAGTTTGTTCTACGGCAAATTACACTGAGTTTCCTATTGTGGCCCCGCACTTCAACGGTCGCACATGCTGTGGTCGACACTTCAAAGCGTCGGGCACAACTGGTCGACACTTGTAAACGTAGGACAAACTGGTCTACGCCTTAAAGTGTCGACCTGGTGGTGTGAAGTTATGTACAAATTTCTTCATAACTTAGATACAATTCTGAAAAAACTTACGCACAATTAAGAAATATTGTCCGTAATTTATGTACAAATTTGTACAAAACTTCCGTATGCACAAAAACGGCCAAAGCTATGGACAATAAAAGTACATAAACATTTAATGAGTGTAACTGTATTGCAAACTGCTGGCAGATCCTTCTACCTGGGACAACTTCGTGATAAGTTCCGGAATACACAGAAGCAAGTATCTGCCACTTCTTGCACTCAATTTACAAAATACAGTTGTCAGTGCCAGACCCCTTGACATTTGCGCTTTGACTGCACCTGTTGCCACCTAGTGCCACGGCACGTGCCAAGGGGGCCACCACACCCGCGATCCTGTGTAACAAGCTAGGGCCCGCCCTTCCGTCGAACCGAGTTGCCAGCACCGCTTCGCTGTGCCGGCAACTCGGTTCGACAGGGGGCCGGCCCAGCTTGGCCTGCCGGCGGCCTTTTCTCGGGCCTTCGGCCCTCGCATCAGACCCAACTTGCCCAGTCGAAGGCCCGGGCCTTCGGCCCGCTCGCATCACACGCACCGTGAGCGGAAGCAAAGTTATCGATGTACCATCGTGACTTAGGCCCGCCCTTCTATTCACAATATGCAATAGTCCTTACACGTTTTACTCCAACTGTCCTTAGAATATGCCCATTTCATTTGTCTCTTCGCCCTCATTCCGAAAATACCCATATTTGCCATGCTACTGCAACTCCTTGCAATAGAGGCACAGCAGGAGCGCAAAACGAGTCCGTCGCACTTTTTCCCACACTGTAAAAAATGTTCGGAATTTTACCATACAGTGGTCTAGGAAAATTCCTATACATGTATAGGAATTACTCAAATTCCGATACATGTATAGGAATATTCCGATTTGTATAGGTTTTTTGCTATTCGGGCTGAAAATGTATAGGAATATTCCTGTACATGTATCGGAATTTGAGCAATTCCTATGCATGTATAGGAATTTTGCAGCCCTGTATAGGAATATGGCCAACTGAGAAAAAGGAATTTGCTATCAACCTCATGAACAGCGATTCTTATTATTGTATTTTGTCTTAACACTCGTAATCAGTGCGATTATTTGCTAAAAACGTACACAATTCACAAAAGCTGCTTGTTTGCCCACTTTCCGGATTATCTGCTAGATGGCGCTAGTGTCGTTTCGACGGACTTACTTCTCGGTGCACGCTGCGGCTAGGAATTTGGTTAGGTCAGGGGGCTCGCGACCCATCACGTTGTAAGAAAGTTGGGTACCTTTCAACTCTTACATCATTTTTTACTGAGGTGATAGTACTTTCACCTTGGGTGTCCTTTGGTAAAGTCGAACTTTGCCAATTTGGAAGACCGTGATGAAGGATCAGTAGTGATCCATGCTCGACGATCTATTACGGCGGAAAGTTCGGCCGTTGTATTAAATATCTGACAGTTCATCCGGTTCAGCCGTCTAATTTAGATATTGTGGTGGAGATCCCATACATGCATTGCAGTTACGCCATTCCGATGTATAGGAAAATCCCTATACAACGGATGGGAGAACACCTATACACGTAATAGGTATAATCCCGTACTGATGTATAGGAAAATTACCATACGAGTGCATGGTAAAATTCCTATACGTGTATATGTAAATAGCTTCATATACATGTATAGGAATTTGACTAAAAAAAGTTTTTACAGTGCATAACTCATGAAGGCGGGCTCCTGGACCCCCCTTCCGACCCCTCGTTGAAGAGGTCTTGCCAAGACCTATCCAAAACTTAAGTAAAAATTTTCAGTCGGTCGACCCCCTTTTTTCAAGATCCTGATGTGACTAATAGACGAAGTCGGGCTCCTGGACCCCCTTTCCGACCCCTCGTTGAAAAGGTCTTGCTGAGACCAATCGAAATCTGCAATAAATTTTTTTAGTCGGTGGACCCCCTTTTTTGAAGATCCTGATCTGGCCAACTTGTAAAAGCGGCCGATGGGGTCGGGACCAGGTCCATTCATCTTGTCTCGTCGCCCCGATTCCAAAAATACCCCTATGTGCCCTGCTAGCACCAATAATGGCGGAAATCTCCCTCCCGCTCATGTAAACTATGATGCACCTGCAGCAGCCCTTGTGCGACCCGGACGGGATTTGCACCACCGGATTATTTGTTTGGACGGTACTCCTGAAGTACCCTCCAAATCTGGTTACTCTAGGTCAACTCCTTCCTTGTACACAGACGCCAACAACAACACCAACAACACACAGACACAAAGGCAAATGCATAGGCCCTCCCCCTATTTTTGGAATAGAAGGGCGGGCCAAAAATCATAATATGAGCTTCAAAAATCTTCTTATGTATTCTACGACATAAACTTTTCATTGGAAATAAGGTAAGCGTCTCAAGAAATCGGTATGGACCAGCAAAAAGACCCGCTTCCGTTGAAAAGCAAAGTAAAAAATTCCAATGCTAATGCATTGCACGGTGTTCCGGTTGTGGAAATCAATTTGAAGTCTGTCATCTAAACGTTAATTACGTTAATTTATTCTTCTTACCCTTCTCAATTTCAAATCTATTAACGAAATATTTCTTCCGACTATTACATCTTAAAGACCGTTTTGTAATCTATAGAAAATGTACTTCAGATGAAAATCCTCAAATGAAACTGGGCTTTTGTCGAGCGCTCTTTGACAGCTGAGACTTCCTTGAACGATCCACGCTTTGGCACCTTTGGCCCAAGACGATCAAATACTGACTGAAAAGAAAAAAAATAATTTAAAAATGCTACTTTTAAGTAAAAATAAAATACAAGATTTTACAAAACTCACTTTGGACACTGTCTCTTCTTCATCCTCTTTCACTTCTCCTTCTTCTTCCTTGTCTAGAATAGGCGAACTGCGAGGCACTTTAAACAAGGTGCGAAATCGCCCAAAAGTGAAGCTTCTTTAACATTCTCTTCTCGGACTGTCCAACATAAATCCCTACATAGTTCGTACTATGCCTTCTTGTTCAGTTCTATCATAGAAACTGGATCCTCCAGGCTTCGAGGCCGCTCCTGAAATAAATAAAAAAACTCATGTTGATAAAAATCACTAAGCAGTGAAATCAATACAAAAATCTCATTCAACGAACGTTAATGAAAGCAGATGATACTCGTCTGGTGCTGTCGTGCACTGAAAAAACAAATGCGGAGAATTCCGCATTTGAAATGCGATTTAAGTAAGTGACCGCATGAAGTGATGCGGTCACCTGAATAGCCAGGATTTTGATGCAATTTCACCGCAGGAGTCATGCGGTGTAAAATTTAACCGCATTTCCTGTTGCGGTTTCCATTTTGACCGCATGAACTGATGCGGCGTCCTACATTTCATAACAGCCAAACAGCTAGCGGCTGCTACCAACTTTCCGTCTCATACTGGACAACCAGAAAAGGATGGCATGTACTGTGCCTTCTCATTTACTTCTGATGCTTATCATTGACTAACCAACACATACCTTTGACGTTAATTTTTGTAACGCTGCGATGAGTAAATATCCTGTGTTTGAAACAGCAAGCCACGGAATAATAATTTTGTCTGTATAAAATGTTGATAGACACTGGATATTGTTCCAAATGCAGTATCAAACTATTGTTATTCATCACTTTAAATTATTTTTAGCCTCAAACTTCTTGGTGATAGCATAACTAGTTTCCATGAGCCAGGCTATGCTGTATGCTGGTAAGGTTAAACCCGCCGGCTGCTTGACTGAAGAATTGTCTGTGCTGCTGTATTTGAACAAGTCAACGCACACGACGCACTACAGCATTTCTTTGATTGAGGTTATTTCATAATTTCAGGGTCTGAGTCATTCCAAACCATTGTAAGAACGTTTTTAAAGGAATAATCTTTCAAATCATACTGACACTGTCACACACAATCAACAACAAAATAAATAAGAGAAACAAAAACAAAGGAGCGCCAACATAAGAAAATATATATATAACATCATATGAGTCAGAAAGTAAACTATGAAGTTGTTCTTTTGTGTGAGTCGTTCATCAAATTTTAAGCTTTAATAAACATACCATTCCCTTAAAAATCCCTAATATACATCCAAAGTTGGCTTTACTTTAACGTTAACACGTTCTCAAGATCCTAGGTTGGCCCTACCATCTTCTTGTTGTTGGGTTTGTTTTGTTGTTCACTATGAAAGTGTGTGTCTTGAACTTTCTTTGTGTGAAAAAAAAAACGAATTTTCAATAGTTGTGGATGTTTCAAAGCATAAAATTATGAATATTACTAAAATACAGTTGTACTGTAGTGCTTCACATGTGTTGAC